ATAGAATTCAATTCCATCAGATTTGGTAAGGAATGGTGAATTCCACAAATTTAGGAATCTTTGAAATTCAATTCCATTCCATAGGTAACCAAACATTGGAATGAAATTTGGTTAATGAAATTGACCATTCCAATTCCATCAGATTCCAACAGATTCCAACGAACCAAACGCCCCCTTATGTTCATAATTGGCTAAATATGCTAAAATGTTTTTATTTCTTTTGGAAACACAGATCTCCAAATAGAAAATACAGTATGTGACAAATTATTTATGATCATATAAACTAATATTTCAAGCTGCCTCAGTTAGATTCACACTTTCCAGCTATTTTTAGCTGAAATTACATTCCGTAATAAGACCACAAGAAACAAAAATAAAATCAAGTACATATACTGAATGAATATAATTATTCTACAGTTTTGCTGAATAAAACGTAAATTTTAAACATTACTGATTTATACTTAATATTTTATTGATGTTGTATGCCTAAAATGTAATTTTTTTTATCTAATGATAATACTGATAACATGCGCTCATATTTCATGGTACTCAACAGATTTGTACTATTCAACATATATGTCGTAAATCAACCGACAAAATTATTTCATGTATAAAGTCTTATCAATTTCGACCAAAAGTGTTACGATATACATTTTCAATATAATCTTTGTGATGCAAAAAATTACGAATCAAAACCAAATAATAAGCTGCAACAACTACGAGTAATTATCAGTTACTTTATGTTTACCCTTAAAAATCCTTGTTGTTCCATCAATTTATTCACCTAGATATCCAACCCGCTAAGCGAGCTGACTAATCCCAGGGCGATCACCTGCTTTGCAGATAGCCCGGAGTCATCGCATTTGAACCTCCGTGGCCATAAGGAGATTTTTATTCCTACTTGGATTTGAACCTGAGACCTCCTGTTACTTTTGACCTTTGGAGCTAAGTTCAAACCAATCAGACACCATTCTTTTGGTTTTGTTCCATCCTGTTACCCGAAGGACTCAGCGTTTTAAAAAATTGCAACATAACTTCAAATGAGACGCAAACATAAAGACACGGTCCGTTAAACTTTCAATAATAAAAAAGACAGAGACCGTTAAAAACATATAATGACATGGACAAAAATATAATCGGTCGATATCGGTCAAAAAGGTATAAAATATAAGATTATAAATTTTTTATTAATAAAAAGATAATTATTTGGGAAAATAAAAAATGTAGCGTAAACGTACAAAAACCTAATGCGTACGTACAGCAAATTGGTACCTTCACCTTATTGTTTAACGAGTGGGCATTGTTTGTCGTATGCTCTAGTAATCCACAGGTGGACTATTCTACCCTTCTTCACCTTGTCCTTCTGTCTTATCTCCAAATATTTTTTAATTATATATATATATATATATATATATATATACTTTTTATATTTTAATTTTTAATTATGTTGTTAAATATTTTGAATCATAATATTATTTATGTGATAATGATAAACTAAAAAGGTATTCACACGCAATGCAACGAAATATATCTTGATTTTAATGTTTCGTTTTATTTTTTTTTATCTCTGTCGATATTATAATATGGATTTATGTGGTTTTGAGTAAATAATAATATTTAAAAAAGAAGAAGATAAATTTAAAGATATTATAAAAATTAAAAAATATACCTAAAAATTCTTATTTTTTGTGTAATTTCTCTATCAATTTTTTTATTATAATTTAATTTAGGTTTAATGGCGAAGCAATTTGTTTTTGGTTTAATAATATAATTTTTATAAAGATAATAACTAACTATTATGTTATAACTCAATAATTATCCTAATTGTATTTCAGATATATTAAAATGAAAACTTTATCTTGTATTTGATTATATTTATCTACAATTAGTTACAAATTCAAATATAGAGCTTAATAAGTTGTACCTATACAAAATTAGTTGTAATCTTGAATTTTATCAAATAATTTATAATATACTAGAAGGGTACTCGTGCAATGTAGCGAGATACATCTTGATTTTAATATTTCATTTTATTCTTTATCTCAGTCGATGTTATAATATGATATTATGTGATTTTGAAAAAACGATGATGTTTTTATTTTTGAATAAATATAAACTTGAAAATATCATAAAATTTTGACAAAAATATATCGATATTAATATCAAATAATCTATTTAAAATTCCTATTTTTTGTGTATTTTTTTAATTCAATTTTTTATTATAATTTAATTTAGCATCAATAACGAAGTAATTTATATTTAGTTTGATAATATAAATTTTTTTATAAAAATAATAATTAATTATTTTATTTGAACTTGATAATTATCCTAATTATATTTTAGATTTTTTATATTTTAAAATAAGATGTTTATCCACAATTAGTTACACGAATTCAAACATAGAACTTTAATAAGTTGTACTTATGCATAATTTACTTGTAATCTTGAATTTTAAGCAATATGCATCAGTACTTCATGCATAAAAAATGGTTTTAAGAGTTTTTGTCAAATACTTTATAATATAGTACAGATTATATAGATAATTGATATAAAAAATGCTTAAATGTCAATTATATTATTATTTTTAATTATTTTAATAGTTTAATTTGTCAAATTACAATTGATGAGGTTAGATAATATTATAAATTATACAAATAATTATGATTATCATGCGGGTAAATAAAATTAAACTGCTAAAAACGTTTTACTTCCTCATCACGTAATAAAATGGCTTAAAGTTTTAAATATATATAATAATTACATTTTTTTATTAATTAATAAACTAAATGACAACTTTACTCTTTTTTTTTTTGAAGTATATAATATATTTATACACGATAAATGCAACAAATAAACTCACACATCCTCCTTACCCATGATGAGACTTGAACCTCTGACCTCCTTGGAGGCAAGAGGCTTAGATACCGCTAGACCAAAGACCCTTTGTTACAGCTTTACTCTTATTTAATTTCTCTTTTAGAATCCTTAAGTATTTTTGCATTAAGTAAAGCTGGATTTGATAATTTTTTATTATCTGTTTTAAGAACTAGACACGTATTTTTTCAGACAAATATAAATAGTAATATATACACTTACTTAAGAATAAAAAGTGTAAGAAAGGATTTGCAACCTTAATCACTTTTAATCTCAAGTCAAGCGATGAACTGTGTTTTAAAAAAGAAATTGATTCAGTATTGATTTAATGAAACTCTTATTCATGAAATGATGGAAATCATTTCTTACTCTTCTTATCATAACTTTTATTTTCATCAAAACTCAACGTTAAATATTATTCACCTTTTTTCTTTTATTAACTTGGATATCTAACCCGCTATGCAAGCCGACTAATCCCATGACGACCACCTACTTTGCAGATAGTCCGGAGTTATCGTATTTGAACCTCCGTGACCACAAGAAGATTTTTATTTCTTCTTGGATTTAAACCTGAAACATCCTGATACTTTTGACCTTTGAATCAAAGCTCAAACCAATCAGACACCACCCATATCGTTGATCACCTTGTTTTATGATGAAGTAAAAGAAACGCCGACAACAAGAATAAGACCTCTATATAGCATTTTGACCCTTTTTAAGTTGCCATATTTTATACACATTTATTCAAAGATTTGTGGCTAATTTTTTACATGTGATTATTTTATAAGATTTTATTATTCTATTTTTAATTTTAATTTTAGTTTTTATCATATACTTTTAAATTAAATTATTATTACAAGAATTTGCTAATCAGATTTAATATTATTTTTCCACTTTACGTGTCCAAATTTGTCAAATCATTTGTTTCATTATATTATTTTAATAATAAATTCTTTTTATGGAAAGAAAATATATAAAGTAATCCGTTAAAAATTAAAATGTTTTTTTATGTCAAAAATATAATATACATTTAAATGTGAGATATTAGCTCTTCCAGGTTTCAAAATAAAGATGTATTTCATAGTTTTATAGTTATTGTATTATATGTTTTCTTTTATATTTTTAACTTTTTTTTTTTGAATTAAAGATTAATTAGAAAAAATTAGTTTGCCTTTTACAAGATAATTTAAATAAAACCAACAATTATTTTAAGTAAATTACGAAAATTATTCCTTAAATTACTGATCAACATCACAGATTCAATCATACCTTAATTTTCTCAAAAATTCTGATGATTTTTAGAAACTTCGACATTTTTGTTATATATTTAGGTTTGGGTGTTACATTATTAGGTCGATTTATTACTTTAATGTTATGTTTTAATATGATTTTTTTAACGTATTGAAATTATAAAATATAAAGAAAAAAAATGGGACAAAAGCAAGGAAAAAGACGAAGATGCCTATGAATATGACATGTTTACCCATTCAAAGAGCACCACAACCTTCTTTTTACAAAATTTTCATCATTTCGAATAGAAGAAGACGATATCGATAAAGAATTCTTATATATTTAAAGTTTAGTCGTTAGACGGAACCTATGTGTTAATCAACCGTTACTTAATTGAAAAGTTTTACATTTTAGTATTTCAAATAAAACATTAATAGAAAAAAAAAATCAAATTCAAAGATAGATAACATTTATTAGTTGTACGATTTTAAGTAAAAGTACGATATTTAAAGTCAAAAATAGAAGATCCAATTAAAATATAAAATTAAATGTAATTATTCAAGAAAATGCTATAAATATTTATATCCAAATAATACAGTTTTTGTCTGATATTTTAAAATATCTAATTTAAAAAATATTAAGGGGGTGTTTAGGATTATTTATAAAAATAACTTATCGACTTATTCCGATGTGGCACCAGTAATAAGCATTTTTGAGTGTTTAGATAAATAACTTATATCGATGTTAAATCGATAAAAAAAAGTTTTTGAAAAAGTTAACCCTTCTGACTTATAATAAATTGATTAATACTTTTATAAAAAAATATGAATTGTTTCAAATATGAAAACCCAAACACCCCTAAGGTGTGGTTTTTTAGAAAAAAATGTGAAGTTGTACGTATGGCATTGAAATTTGTACATTAAGGAGAAAAAGGTGGTTAAAGTAAAATTATTTCTCCCATCCTTCACGCGAGATATGTGTACTCTAAAAAAAAACACCATCTATACAGGATAAAAAATAGAAATAAAGAAACAAAATCTGGCTAAAGAAACAGTACACATTCAGATCTGGATCCCATCAACATCGCCATCTTCAATCTCCACCGTTTGATCATCAATAGCCACATCATCACCGTTCATGATATCTTCTTCCTCCACGTCATCGATTGCATGACCCACCCACTCCTCCATGGGTGCGCACTCCACCTTATGGTGCACCCTCCAGTCATGGGCTTGACACCCACGCGAACAATAGTTCACTTTACCACAGCCCGAGCATCTCCGGAATTCGTTCCTTCGGGTTTCGGGTCGGCCGCAACCTTTGTAGGAACACATCCTCAGGCCCTGGCCCGGTGACCCGTCGTCAATTGACCCGAACCATTCCACTAAGAACCTATTGGCCGGGTGCATTTCTCGGCCGGTGAGGTTAAACCCGTAATCGCTAAACAACTGGAAGTCGAAATCGGTTGGGTTCGGAGCAGTGTTGGAATTGGTTGGGATGATAGGTTGTGGTTGGTGGTTACGGAAAATCCACGCCGACGAAGGCGGCGAGGATGTGTTGTTATGGAAGACGCGCAACACAGACGCGAGTTCCCGTGCGTTGGCTTGCACGAGTAGACGACGGCCCTCGGTGATGTTCTTCCGTACGCCGTAACCGTCTTGGAGGCAGTGGCCGAGTTCCCGGAGAGCGTCGATGTGGCCAAGGAAGGCTGCTCTGGCACAAAGAGCAACACCTGCACGGAGGTCCTTGTCGTTCTTGAATCCTCCACTGCCGTTGAACTGAATCAGAGCAAGCGAGTACAGTGCCGGAGCGTGCGATTTAATCGCCGCCTTCGCCATCAAGGACGCTCCACTTCCTCGATTTTGCAAGCAATAAAAACGGATCTGCAAAAACAAAATTTAGATACACCAAACGAAGCAACACAGCCATAGCCATTGCTTTCTACAACAACCATCCCTAAAATCATATATTTCAAATAACACTAGCAATTAATACTCACCATTCCAAGAATATAATAAGCCTCTGTGTTGCCGGCGTTGACGCACAGTTTCAAAAACCGGTGAGCCCCGTCGCACCAGTTTGTAGCTCTTACGGCAAGCGCTTTTGAAGATGATTTTGATAGAACTAGTGGATGTACGCCTAATTTATTCAACCTCTTACATCTGTCAACACAAAACCAAAACACATACTTCCTTAAAAAAATTCATACACCAAAAATTAAAATCACAAACAAATAACTCAGAATTAAAACGCACGTAAGAAGAACAGCAACGAAATCCGACGGAGAAGACGCTGTAGAACTGAGTTTGCAGAGAACCGATATAACAATATCATCAGGTAAGGAGTCAAACAGATCAGATCTTGTTCTACCATGATAAACAGCACCTCCTCCACCTCTTAGCTTCTTCTTCATCATCATCATCATCATCAACAACAGCAGCAGGAGGAAAATCTTGTGGATAAATATAGATTTGTGATTAGAAAAAGGCTGAATGAATTTATAAGATGTGCATCTGGAAACGGTTGTTGATTCATCCGTTTATTGCCTGGCGGAGAGGTTAATTTGAAATGGAGAAAATGAAAAGCTAAAAGATGAAGGCACAAGGCCTTTTATAGTTGATGAGAAAGAATTCAAGTAAACTAAAGCTGCTATTGTTAAGGAGCCCACGTACGAATATTTTGTAAATCTTTTTCTATTTTTTTATTTTTTATTTTTATTAAATAATATTAATAATTAATTACGAATTTAATACCAGTATAACGTAAATATAATATTTCTTTCTATAATTAATTTCCCAATAATATAAAATATTAAATTAAATATTTAAAATCGGTGTATACATAAAAGACAAAAACTTAATAAAGAAAACAACATAAAAGAAATCCGTTAAGGTAAACAAACCGAACAACGAACAACGAACAAACGAGGGCTGGAGTTAACGAGTTTTGGGTTAACTTTGATAATAATTTTTAAAGCTAGTGGCGTAAACATTAAAAAATAAACTTTGCGTTGGAAGTTTTCGTGGTCAAACTCTAAATAAACAAACTTTAATGTTCGGGGTTGTTTGTTTACCTCTTAATAGTTCCATTAAGAGACAATCTCTGAATCGTTAAGAGGTGAATTTTGTTTGGTAAAAAAAGGTCTGTCTCTTAATGATTCTAAAGCCCTCTGGATGGTTTTGTATCATGGATCTCTCTTAACCATTAAGAGCCCTAATTTCGTTGTACACACTACCAAACAATTATATTTCATTTTGCACTATATCATGAGAGTCTCTTAATCATTCTAATCATTTAATCATTCTGCACTAAACCATTCAGCAATATTGTCAAACAACCCCTTAGATAACAAGATAGTCTTGACACGAGTTAGAGCGACCCCATAATTATATAGAGTCGGGTTCAAATTAAACAAATATCTTACTAAAATAAAACTTCTATGAGCAACTAAAAGTCCGTCTAGACGATTCAACGTGTTTTAGGCTCGAAATCGACTCCTTTTAGGGGTTTATTTTATATTATGTGTGGGTTTAAGAAGAAAAAATCTTGAATCTGTCTTTAACGACCTCCGTAACAATCATGATGAAAACCATCCCCACCCGTATTTTATTCAATCTTCATCAAGCCTGCAAAGGGGGTATACCGTTTTTAACTTAATAAACGTAATAGATAGTTAGCTTAATTGATTAAATTAGATTAAGAGATACGCTTAAAATGGTAAGTCGGCCCATCCTGTATTAACACATTAATTAGGATTTTTTTTCCATAATTATCCTTGTCCTATAAATTATAAATTATAATCAAATAATGTTTTTTGGAATTATTTTTAAGTTATTAACACTTTAAACTTATTTATGTTATTTTAAATAACTAATATTATTTTAATTTTTTGTTATTTGAAATATTTGTAATATAATTTAATTTTATACAGATAAAAAGTTAAAATGATAACTTTTTTTTATTCAGGTATTTATTTAGAACAAAAACCAAACAACAATTTATCTTAGAGGTTGTTTGTTTACCTCTTAATAATTCCATTAAGAGGCAGAGTCTGAATAGTTAAAAGATGAATCTTGTTTGATTAAAAAAAGTCTGTCTCTTGATGGTTCTAAAACACTCTGAATGATTTTGTATCATAGGCCTCCCTTAACCATTCAACGCCCTAATTTCGCTGTAAATAATTATATTTCATTTTTGCATTATATCATGAGAACATCTTAATCATTCTGACCACTTAATCATTCTACACCAAACCGTTCAGCAACTACCAAACAACCATTTAATTAATATTCAGAGTTTATTAAAAAAAAAATAAACAAGATTTATGGTGCTAACTTGAAGCTTAAACAACGATTTGCCTTCTATTATCCGAATCAAAAGTTCAAAACCGAGAAACGCTCTCCACTTTGACTACCCATTTATCCCCAATTAACTCCAAAAATTCAACCAAATTTATTATGTTTGGAGAAAACCACAAATTTGGTCCCTACTGTTTCTGAGAAATAACATTTTTTATCTATACAGTTTTGAAATTACAAGATGGTCATCATCGTTTGTAAAAACGTATGGATTTAAGCCCTCCTTCTAATGGTCATTAAAAAGTTCCGCTAAATGAGGGGCATTTTCGTTATTTATCGATTTATTTTGTCTTTTACCCAATCGATTTAACTATATGATTTTTGGTCCTTGTGGTTTTAAATTGATTAAAATACAAAAAAAATCAATAAAATAACGAAAATGTCTTTTATTTAACAGGATATTTTAAAGACCGTTAAATAAAGAGACCAATTCAGATACGATAACCATCTTGTAAAATCATCAAAAAAATTCCATGCAACATAACTTTCAGTATTAACAAAATTACCCTCGACTACTATTTTCTTTTAATCAGAATGGTAAGATTTTATATATATCATTTTTTTTTCAAATCAAATATTTTGTTATTTGTATGTAGATGTTATAAATATTATGTGTATGTGAATGTATAGAAAATAAGGGTTTAATGAAAGTGTGTGGTATTAATATATATATATATATATATAGGGAAGGGTTCAAACGAGAACCCCTGTGATTTACGAAAACGCGAGAACAACTTTGTAACCACATATTGTGATAAAAAATAAAATTAAAAGATTTTTAAAATTAAAATTAAAATTTAAAAAGATTCAAAAAAATTTAAAATTAAAAGGGTAATAATRGAAATGATATATTATCTAAAAAACGGTTAGAATCTTTTAAACTTATCATTAAATACAATCAAAATCTTTTAAACCTATCATTATCATCTACAAAACGGTTACGATTACAAGCAACCCTAATCATGTGATAATCATGTGATAATCATGTGATATGGGTGTGATAATCATGTAATAGGGGTGTGATAATCACCGTTAT